GGCCAGGCGGGCAATGAGGGATAGAGTCCACGGGTCCACGCGTCCACGCGCAGGGCCCACCGCACGGAACAGTGGCCGGCTTCCCCCGTGAACCCTCCCCAGTCCTCGGATGGAGCAAGGACAGCTGCCCCACCCCCTCCACCGCAAGGCCCCCTCCTCCAGGACGCTTCCCAACTCAACCGATGCCAAGCTTCAAATCGGAAAACTCTAGAATCAAATTCCTATTTTTAAAAAGCTGTTTTCCTTTCTTTCTTTTTGTTTTGTTTTGCCTGTGACCTGTTCCTTTAGTCTCCCACTCAAGACAAATTCAAACAAAACTTTTAATGACTGATTTTTTTTCAATAGAAGCTGAGGGAACAAAAACCTGTTTCTGGTCGTGTTCCAGGTGTTAGCACTTGCCATGGGATTTCCACCTGCCCACCGGGCCCTCCCACTTTCTCTCGCAGCCCGAGATTCCCGATAAAATATCCCATGCACGTCGGGAGTGGACAGCCTCAGCTTTGAGGGAACACAATCAGACCCGGCCTGCCCTCGACGCCTGGTGGCGGCCCCCAGGTCAGGGCCTCCAGGTCAGGGCCCCCAGGTCAAGGCTCCCAGGTCAAGGCCCCCAGGTCAAGGCTCCCAGGTCAAGGTTCCCAGGTCAAAGCTCCCAAGTCAAGGCCTCCAAGTCCAGGCCCCCAGGTCAGGGCCCCCAGGTCAAGGCCCCCAGGTCAGTGCCCCGACTTACGGTTCTAGAGGGAGCGAGGTACGTGGGGGACGCTGCTGGAGGCCTGGCGGGGCCCTGGAAGGCGGAGGGGCAGAACCTCTGTCCCGCATCCACAGGCGAAGAGGAGGCATAGATGCGGTTCTCCAGCCGCTCGGGCTCCTGCTTGTAGGCTTCCAGGGGGAAGGAGTGCTGCTTGGCCACCGGGGTGGGCGTGGACGGCGAGGAGGAGAGGCCGGAGGCTGAGGGGGAAACCACAGCTGTTAGGAGGCTGGGGGGGGGGTTGTCGAGGCTCCCCCACTTCCAAGGGCCGAAATCTCAAATAGCAGCAATCAAAGGATTAAACTCTGAACACTGGGACAGGCCTTTATAAACCGCTCTCTAATCCCTTAGCGTGGGCCGAGTCCAGAAATCCCCTCGGCACCCAGCCCGAGCCGCGGGCGGGGTCCCCCTGCAGTGAGGGGGGTCTCGGGCAGTTCAGGAGTCGTCTGGGTGGACGGTTTCTCCCGTGTGCCCGTTAGACACCGTTTCCTCCCATTCGGTCAAATACCGTTTGACCCCTGTCCGCCCCACGAAGCCCTGTGCCGGGAGCGCGCCCGGAGCCTCACGGGGAGGGGGCCCTGCAGGCACCTCAGGGCCAGAGTCCACCCCCAGAGCTGGGGGAGCAAACGCCTGCCGTCAAGCCACCAGGGCGCGGTGCTCGGGCACAGCAGCCCCCGGACACTAATACACAGTAATGCTGCCTAATACTGATTTGTTTTCCGACAGAAGCAGAATCGGGATTTGGGTCTGGTCTCATCTAGGTAACTGAACGACATTTTAATTTTATTTTTAAATATGTTTTTGTTTTATGTATTATTTTTTTTTAGAGAAAGGAAGGGAGAGGGGGAGAGAGATAGAAACATCCATCGGCTGCCTCCTGCACGCCCCCTACTGGGGATCGAGCCCACAACCCACACGTGTGCCCTGACCCGGAATCGAACGTGTGACCTCTTGGTGCCTGGGGCGGAGCTCAATCCACTGAGCCACGCCGGCCAGGTGAAATTTTTTATTTTAAATGTGCTACTGGAAATACTTAAAGTACGTGAGTCAAAGCAAAGATGCCAGCGGACACGGCCAAGGCCACCCACTTGCTGCTTCTGACCTAGACCCAGACTAGTCAGCCCGCTAGGCCGCAGCGGGTCTCCCTCACTGTGCTCCTCCGTCCCACGTTCCTGACTCCCGTCCCTAGGCCTTGTGCGCACAGGTGTCCCCTCTCCTCCTGTTCGCACGCCCACAGCCGCCTCCCACTCAGGCATGACTTCCTCCGCCCCCTTCTCCTGCCCTCGGGCCTGCGAGCCTGCCCTCTCTGGAAGTCACAGAGCACGTTTCCCCTGCACTGCATGCCACCTGTCACCGATGAGCCAACACTGACACCAAATGTGAGGACGTAGGTCTTGCCAGGCTGGCGTGGCTCAATGGTTAGAGCGTTGACCTATGAACCGGGAGGTCGCGGCTCGATTCCCGGTCAGGGCACAGGCCCGGGTTGCGGGCTCGATCCCCGGCAGAGGGCGTGCAGGAGGCGGCCCGTCAATGAATGACTCTATCTTATCGATGTTTCTCTCTCTCCCTCTCCCTTCCTCTCTCCAAAATAAATTAAAATAAATAAATAGGTT